CGGACTTAACACTTCAATTCGATGTACTCAATTTATGATTAACGATTAAGATATACCATGTTTCAATGAACATTTTACGAGAGCTTCCAATAGGTAAATTTTGCAAGAATAACTTACTTAAAACATTTCCCTTTCAGATGATGGCGCGCCACGTAAGCGATGCGACAAGCAGGAAAGCATTTGAGCTTTACAAAAGTACAATGGATTCAAAAATCGAATCCCAGAACTCGATATCACGGAATCCAATCTTGAATCTGTTTGGAAGAGAATCCAGATCTCTTGAAGGTTCTCTTCTATACAGCCGTCACTTAGAGTCAAAATACGAAGCTATTGAAACTTACAACAGGGAAAACCAATTCGCCAGACACGGCGCTTGGTCTGAAATTGCAGCTGAAGTTAGGGAAATCCTAGAAAGGGTGAGTCAAAGCCAGCGAAAGTGCAATCATGTACTCATAATATCGCTAACCGAACACTCTGAGTAATTGGGCTGTGTATATTCGCGGCCAGATTGTGGACAGATACGATGATTGTGCTACACAATCAAATGCATGCATTGCCTTATTAGGCATGGAGCGCAGAGGCAATAATTTCTATCATAACATAACATATTGATCTCGGCGCTGAAGTGTAGGCCTGATGTGGCCTGTCGCCGATTCTTTTCCTTTTCATGACTTGTTCCCAGAAGATCTAAAATCGTATCATTTTACCGGTTCTTTTCATGACTGACGATAGTTTGAAATAGCTACTCGACTTATCAATAAATATCATCGATTTTTTTGAATAGGGGGCACGTATGTGCTGCAATGGAGTTAAATGAGCATGCAGGCGCGCGTGATCGGTGATACCAGCTGACGCATCAATTCAAAGCTGTGTAATCTATAAATTCAAAGATGTATATATAATCTATGATGTCCAACAGTGTGCAATCTATGATGTCAGACGACTTGTAATCCATGATGTCAGGGATGCAGGCGAATTGTAATGTATGACATCAGATGATTCAAGGATTTGTAAGCCATGAGCGATTCAAGTTTTTGAGAGCTGGGCGAAGAACGCGACGATCAACCATCAATGCCGAGTAGAAGACGAAAGGTCCAATTCGTATTATAATTTGAATATTGAATGGTCAAAGAAAGAAAGTAATAGATGGAATGCAGATCATTACAAGTTTAATACTTTTTTTACAGTATTTAGATGTACAAAGATCTCACATCCATACACCCGCGGCAGCATAACGCTATATGAGCGATGCTTGTATATATAGTGATCGTACTGCCGCAAGACTGTTCTGGACCTACATTTTTAAAAAAAAAGTAGAAGATAAATATTAATCAATTTTAACGAAAAAGAGCGGTAACAAGTTTAATACTTTTTTTACAGTATTTAGATGTACAAAGATCTCACATCCATACACCCGCGGCAGCATAACGCTATATGAGCGATGCTTGTATATAAATACTCATGATCGTTCTTAAATATCTTCAGCATCACACATAACCGGTCTAACCACCATGCACCGTCGTTTAACTTCACTATAATTGTATGAATTTTGACCGTCAATGCTTGTCGACGTTATTTTAGCCACTCTCAAACGCATTTAGTTAATTACTTAGATTTATCAACGATTTGTGGTTGATCGCTAATTGGTTTTGATGAAGCTACTTATTGTTTTGAAGAACTCGATAGGAAGAAAGCTTCCTGTGGGTTTGCATCGCGCAAGCCTGCATGCAAGTTCCACGTCCTGATTCACGACAATTCCAATTGAGTGATGAGTTGTAGGGCTAAACATTTTTATGTTATGAAATCTAATTCCATCGTATTTATGACTGTTTTATAACTTATTACTGCTTATACGTGCAACTGATCGTATAACTGAACTAAATAATCTCCACAGCATGTTAAACCCAATGACGAGTTAAACTTCCCTTAAAACACGATTAAATTCACATAAGTCTCATCAATCATCAAAAATGACTAACAAAAATCTTAAACATTGCATTACCGTCGTGATTGTCCATATTTTTTCCTCAATTGAGTGATGGGTAATCCTCGAAAAGCAACGTTGATATAATTATTGTTTTCAAACTCTGAACCACTTTCTTCCCCCGCCTCATATATTGGCACAGCCGCACTGAAAAAATTATTATTTGCTCCCATGCTTTTATAATTAATGCCAAAAATATGCAAATAATGCACATTCAGAAATTATTATTTACATTTTTGGTATATCAGTAACAACCCCCATTCATCTGTTGCTAACACACCGCCTACTTGGGTTATCTGCCCCGACATTGTCATCCTTTATCTCCATAATGCTGTCTCCTCGCCATCGTTGACCTCCGTAATGCCAATCACTCAGAATCATTTCCCTCTACAATGCCAATGTACAGTTAAATTATACGAGAAAATCTTCATGACAATTTAGTTCGATTAGGAGTCTATTAACTCTTCCATATATCCTTAGCTATCTAAGGTATCGTATCGTTGTTTATACAGGGTGCGGCAGAGAGGACGGACGGTTTTATAAACGTCATAAAACAGTATATTTTCACTGAAAATAACTTTATTGATGCAATCAGGTTCACAAAGAAATAGCATTTCAGACAGTTAAGTGTGGAAAATAACATCTGGCATGTGGTGGCCAAAATCGTTGATGCAGTACTGTAGGCGCTCATGAAAGTTTGCGTAGACTCCCTCCAACACCGCACATATTGTTACTCTCTCCAACACCGCTCAACACCTCATATTGTTTATGAGTGACGAAGCCCACTTTCGCCTAAACGGAATGGTTAACCAGCAGAATTTCCATTATTGTTTAGCGCTAATGAGAATCCTCAACAGTGACACGAAAGACCGCTGCACAGACCAAAAGTAACGATTTGCAAACATGCATCATTGGCCCTTACTTCTTTGAAGACGGTAATGGTAATGGCTGTACTGTGAACTCAGAGCGCTAAACAGAAATGAAGACCAACTTCTTTGTCTCTGAATTACGACGGCGTCATGTTCCAGCCCGACGTGTGTGGTTCCAGCAGGATGGAACGACTGCTCACACAGCCAGAGCATCAATGGACGTCATCCGCCCACTCTTTCCTGGTCGCCTTATTTCCAGGTTTGGCGATGTTCGTTGGCCTCCTCGGTCCCCAGATATTGGCCTCCTCGGTCCCTCGGTTTATCCATATACGATTTTTTATTATGGGGACATCTCAAGGCTACAGTATACGAACACAAGCTCCGAACTCTGGACGAATTAAAGGACGCTATTCGCGTGGAAGTCGCGCATGTTGAGAAAGCGGTGGTGGAGGGATTCTACGCGAACATTCAAGAACGCCTACAACACTGTATCAACAATTTCGGCCACCATGGTGCACATGCCAGACATTATTTTTCACACTTGACTGTGTGAAATGCTATTTCTTTGTGAATCTGATTGCATCGATAAAGTTGTTTCTCAATAAAAATATAAATTTTTTGACTTTTTAAAACCGTCCGTCCTCTCTGCCGCAACCTGTACAATATGAGAGTAGCATTGCAATGCCATAACGTGTGCTCATGATTAATATCCCTTTAATTTTAACGATGTTGCAAATACTTCAATAACTGAGGATTAAAAAATTGACCGAAGGAAGTGAATGAAGCTGAAATCGTAATGAACAATATTTATTATTTTTTCAGAACATTGAAGAACACTTCAGGAACTATGTTCTGGAGAACAACGGAATGAAGGTGGACGAGATTGGATGGAAGTCGAGATTGTACTGCGGGTTGAACATGATAAAATTATTCTCCAAATACTCTGTCTTCTAGGAATATGGGACTTAACACTTCAATTCGATAGCTATATGTACTCAATTTATGATTGAATATTAATATATACCATATTCCAATAAACATTTTACGAGAGCTTTCAACGATTAAATTTTGCGAGAACAACCTACTTACATTTCCTTTTCAGATAATTTGGTGCGTCAAAAGCGATGTGAACTGCAAGTTTGCATTTGAACTTTACAAAAGAACAATGGATTCAAAAATCGAAACCCATGGAAGATGTCTTGCAGATTCTCTTCTATACCGCTGTCACTTAGAGTCAAAAAGCGATGCTATTGTAACTTACGACAAGGAAAACCAATACGCCAGTAACAACGCCTTGTTTGTAACTGCAGCTGAAGCTAGGAAAGTCCTTGAAATGGTGAGACAAAGCCAGCGAAAGTGCAATCATGCATGTGCTCATAATATCGCTGACCGAACACTCTGAGTAATTGGGCTGTGTATATTCGCGGCCAGATTGTGGACAGATATGATGATTGTGCTTACACAATCAAATGCATGCATTGCCTTATTAGGCATGGAGCGCAGAGGCAATAGTTTCTATCAATAAATATTATCGATTTGTTTGAATAGATGGCAGATATTCCATTCCATCGTATTTATTGCTGTTTTATGACTTATTATTGCTTATGCGTGCAACTAATCGTATAACTGAACCAAATAATCTCTATAACATGTTAAACCCGATGACGAGTTAAACTTCCCTTAAAAAAACATGATTAAATTTGAGTCTCATGAATCATCATCAAAAATGACCCACAAAAATCTTACACATGGCACCACTGTCGTGATTGTCAATATTTTTGCCTTGGTTATAGTTGAGTGATTGTTAATCCTCGAAAAGAAACGATGATATATTTATTGGATTAAAACTCTGGACCACCTTCATCTCCCGCCTCCTGTATGGTGGGTATTCCGCCTCCACAGCCACACTGAAAAATTTATTTTCTCTCATGCTTTTATTGTTAATACCAAAGATATGGAAATAATGCGAATTTTTAAATTATTATTCGCTATTCAGGCGTATCAGTAACAACCCCATTCTTGTTTGCTAACACACCGTCTACATGGGTTTTCTGCTCGGACATTGTCATCCTCTACTTCCACAATGCTGTCTCCTCGCCTTCATTGACCTCCACAATGCTGTCTCCTCGCCTTCATTGACCTCCACAATGCTGTCTCCTCGCCTTCATTGACCTCCACAATGCTGTCTCCATCATTGACCTCCGCAATGCTGTCTCCTCGCCATCATTGACCTCCACAATGCTGTCTCCTCGCCATCATTGACCCCCACAATGCTGTCTCCTTGCCATCACTGACCTCCACAATGCTGTCTCCTTGCCATCATTGACCTCCACAATGCTGTCTCCTTGCCATCATTGACCTCCACAATGCTGTCTCCTCGTCATCATTGACCCCCACAATGCTGTCTCCATCATTGACCTCCGCAATGCTGTCTCCTCGCCATCATTGACCTCCACAATGCTGTCTCCTCAAATGCTGTCTCCTCGCCTTCATTGACCTCCACAATGCTGTCTCCTCGCCTTCATTGACCTCCACAATGCTGTCTCCTCGCCTTCATTGACCTCCATAATGCTGTCTCCTCGCCTTCATTGACCTCCATAATGCCGTTGCAGCGCTATAATTGCCAATCTACGCAGCTAAATTATGCGTGAGAAGCTTCATGACGATCTATCGCGATTAGGAGACTATAATAACTCTTCCATATATTTGTTGCTATACAAGGTTTCATTGTGCATATGAGAGTACACTGCAATGCCGGAACGTGTGCTCATGAATAATATCTCTTTATTTTTACGATATTTCTAATTACGTCAATAACTGTGGCAAAAAAAATTGACCGACGGAAGTGAACGAGGTTGTAATCATATTGAGCAATATATTTTTTTCAGAACATTGAAGAGCACTACGGGACCTATGTGCAGAAGAACGAGGAAATGAAGGTGGGCGAGATTGGACGGAAGTCCAGATTGTACAGCGTTTTGAGTGATAAAATTATTGTCCAAATACTCTGTTTCCATGGAATTTGGGAATTAACACTTACAGTATATTCGATATACATTTGTGCCCGAAATTATTCATACCCTAACGTCATCTCGACAAATTATGAGAAAGATATAGAAAAATAATCATATAAAAGTTCAAAAAGAGATGTAAGCCATTTATGAACCATATAACATGTATTTAAAATCAAAAAACCATTTTTTTCAGTTTCATAAAGAGATACAAAGGAAACACTAAGCTCTTTTTTCTTCACCATCTTCAAACTTTTAGCATAATTTTAGCTTTTCCCTAAATTGCAGAAAAAATTATATTTTCAGACTTTGCAGAGAAAAATATTACAATGCTTAATAACACCGAATTTTGAAATGCACTTATTGAGTATCTACAACTATTTTCTTTAATTATTCTTCCTAAATTTTATAATAAATGATCCAGAATAAGAGGGTACGAATAATTATGAACAGTTCGTTACTCACAAAATTAAAAATAATATTTGTTGAAAGTTATTTTCTGAATATTTTCTTGCATTAAATTTCTTGTACATTATTATAACAACCTTTCACAGAAGAATAAGTTGTAAATGATCTTTATTGTTATTTAAAATGGAATTTATTATATTTCTGAAGGGGTATGAACAATTTCGGGCACAAGTGTATGTATGCAATTTATGATTAACTATTATGTAATACCACATTTCAATGGAAATTTTAAAAAAGCTTTCAACTCATAAATTTTGCGAGAACAACTTACTTACAAGATTTCCTTTTTCAGAAAAAGGTGCGCGAAAAATGCGATGAGACCAGCAAGAAGTCACTTGAACTTTACAAAAGAACAATGGATTCAAAAATTGAATCCCATGGAAGATGTCTTGAAGATTCTCTTCTAAACAGCTATCACGCAGAGTCAAAAAGAGAAGCTATTGCAACTTTCAACACGGAATGCCAATACGCCAAAAACAACGCTTTGTTTGCAATTGCAGCTGAAGTTAGGAAAATCCTTGAAAAGGTAAGTCAACCCAGCGAAAGTGCAATCATTTACCCTTAATATCGTTGACAGAACACTGTGTAATTGGGCTGTGTAAATTCGCGGCCAGATTGTGGACGGATATAATGATTGTGCTTACACAATCAAATGCATGCATTGCCTTATTGCATGGAGCGCAAAGGCAATAATTTATATCAATAAATATTATCGATTTGTTTGAATAGATGGCAGACATGGTGCTACAATGGCGTTAAATGAGCATGCAGGCGCGCGTGATCGGTGATACCAGCCGACGCATAAATTGTATATACCAGGTTACAAATCGATGATATCAAGCGATTCAAATATGTGTAATACATGATGTCCGATGGTGTGTAATCCATGATGTCAGACGACTTGTAATCAATGATGTCAGACGATTCAAGGATTTGTAATCCATGATGTACATGGATTTGTGAGCCAAGAGCGATTCAAGTCCTTTGACAGCTGGGAGAAGATCGAAAGGTCCAATTCGTACTATAATTTAAATATTAAACGGCCAAAAAGATAAAGTAACAGATAGAATGCAGATCATAACAAGTTTAATGCTTCTCAAGAATTTTTATATGTTAGCGCGGGGACTTCCTACACAGAAGCTCACACCATCAAACTAGTTCAGCAACAGTTCCGACGTCTTGGGCAAAATGTATTCTGAGGTAACGGAAAAGTAAATGATTTAATTCAAAGTTACTTTCAGGAATTTAAACCACAAGTTACGAACTAGTTCCGATCATTTGTAACTTTTCGTCGACATTCATAAAAAATAGGTGATTAACTGTGATTGGAATTTGTGACACTCATTCTAGGAAAAATTACACCTTTCTAGAGATACGGTAGATGGAAGAATTGGGCAGTTTCAAATGACCAAGCATGATCTAGTACATGTTACAATGTGTGAAACAAACATGTGAGAGTAGGGTAACATGAGACAAAGGGACCACTGCGGTGATGGCCTATAGCGGATTTCCCTCTAGTTATGGCAAATATTGGTCCGTGTTCTCTACCGCCGGTCGACAGTTTCACTGGTACGAAGTGTAAGGCTCTATGTTTTGCTAAGAGTATGCGTTGATAAGTTACTCGCAAATAACTGTTTTAGCGCAGTTAAAAGTTTTTTGCTGCTAAATTAAACTGTTTTCGAATACGCTATTTGAAGCTTTAGAAATTACTGTGAATTATATTTTGAAAGTAATATTTAAAGGGATAATTTTGAGTTCAAGTCTAGACTGTTAGCTTTTAAAATAAAATGTTGACACGACATAAATTGAAATGATAACTAGTGGGGCAACGGGCCCACGCGTGTCACGGGGCAAAGCTCCCATGGTGGGCTCAATACCCCTCGGGGAAATCTTGTGTTATACATCATTAGATTTTTTTCAATGACCTTTTCAAAACTATGACTAGCTTTTTGAATTACAAATTACACTTCATATAGTATGATTTTTTGATTTGCCACCTCAAGGCAGCAGGTTTAGTTTCTAGTTATGCGTATTTATGACCCCTTATCGAGTTATTGACTCATGCCTTGCCAAAAGTTGATTTCAGCCAACACAAATGAGCCAAAAGTTGACGAGTTTTTATGGTGTTGGCTGAAATCACGATTAAGTACGAATTCCCTGCACATAATATCTGGATTATGGACGAAACTGGAACGAAGTTCTTTCAGATAAAGTAAATATATTTTTTTTGGTCAACGATACATACTTTCATGGCAAGGATGAATTTTTTATTTCAAGGAAATATTTTTTTTCACGTCAGTGACAGATTTTTTAAGTCAAGATAATATTCTTTCAAGTTAAGGATATAATTTTTTAGGTTGTTATTAAATGAATGAATGTAATATTTTTTATTACATTTTTTCTTATTTTGAACTTTAAAGTGTTGTTTTATCATTTGCAAACAAAAAATATGCAATTGCTGTAAAGGGACCCGGGGTGAGCGCCTTGCCCCAAGCCCATGGGCGCATTGCCCGAGGGGCCCATTTTGGCACTTTCTCCAAAATAGTGTTTCATTAAAAATTGAATAACTCTATAGGCGTCTAATTCACATCATACATTCCTCATCAATTGTACCTTTAAACAAAACAAAGAATCACCTTGTATCAATTAAAACTTCATCAGAAATTTAGTTAAAAAAAGAGGGGCCCGCTGCCCCATGTTACCCTACAATGATATCACATCCAAACACCCGAGGCATCAAAGCACTATATACTCCGAATGTATATGAGCGAAGCTTGAATATATAATGATCGCATAGATTCAAAGTTGTTCTGGATTTATATTTCAAAAAAGTAGAAGATAAATATTCATCAAGTTGAGCAAAAAAGAGCGGTAACTACTCAAATTTGCCTACGAGGATGTGACCACACAACTGAATCTTTAAATACTCATGATCGTTCTTAAATATCTTCAGCATCACGCGTAACCGGTCTAATTCCACCAACGTCGTTTAACTACACTATAATTGTGTGAATTTTGACCGTCAACGCTTGTCGATGTTACTTTAGCCACTCTCAAACGCATTTACATAATTACCTAGATTTATCAACGATTTGTGGTTGATCAATAATTGGTTTTGGTAAAGCCACTTATTGTTTTGAAGAACTAGATGAAAGGAAAGCTTCCTGTGGTTTGCATCGCGCAAGCCTGCATGCAAGGTCCACGTCCAGATTCATTAGTTTCCATTGAGTGATGAGTAGTAGGCTGAAAATTTTAACGTTAAATCGAATTCTATAGTATAAATGGCTGTTTTACAGCTTATTGCGGCATATACATGCGTTTGATCGTATAACTGAACCAAATAATCTCTACAGCAAGTTAAACCCGAGGACGAGTTAAACTGCCCGTCCAAGAAATATGGTAAAACTTGAGTCTCATCTATCTTCGTCAAAAATTACTCACATAAATCATCAGTGTCGTGATTGCCCATATTATTGCCTTGCTTATAGTGGAGTGATGCTTAAACGTCGAGAAGCAACGTTGATATAATTATTGCATGGATTCAACCTCTGAATCACCTTCTTCGTCTCCTCGCCATCATTGACCTCCACAATGCTGTCTCCTCGCCATCATTGACCTACATAATGCTGTCTCCTCATTTTTTTAGCTTATAGCCGTGGCCCCTGGTGTTGGTTCTTGTTTCAAATTCTAGTAACCCTTCAGGGACCTTGTATAGACCATGAGTATACTTGTATACTTCAATGAGGTCCCCACGCAGACGTCGATAACTGAGGCTTGGAAGCTTCATAATAATGAATAATACCCCAGTAATTTTCGCGATATTTCAAACAATTTGATAACTTGGGACTAGAAAATTGACTGAAGGAAGTGAATGAAGTTCAATCGTAATGAGCAATATTTTTTTCAGAACATCGACGAACATTACGTGACCTATGTTCAGAAGAACGACGAAATGAAGGTGGGCGACATTGGATTGAAGTTCAGAATGTACTACGTGTGGAGCTCGATGAAATTAATGTCCAAATTCTCGGTCATCTAGGAATTTGGGGCTTACTAATTCAATTCGATATATTTACTCAATTTATGATTAACTATTGAGATATATCATATTGTAATAAACATTTTACGAGAGCTTTCAACAGTTAGATTTTGCGAGAACAACTTTCTTACAACATTTCTTTTTCAGAGAATGGGGCGCGTTAAAATCGTCGAGACCAGCAAGAAGGGATTTGAGCTTTACAAAAGAACAATGGATTCAAAAATCGAATCCCATGAAAGATGTCTTGAAAATACTATTCTAAATAGCTGTCACTCAGAGTCAAAAAGCGAAGCGATTGCAGCTTACAACATGGCAAACCAATACGCCATAAACAACGCTTTGTTTGTAACTGCAGCTGAATTTAGGAAAAGCCTTGAACTGGTGAGTCAAAGCCAGCGAAAGTGCAATCATGTACTCATAATATCGCTGACCGAACACTCTAAGTAATTGGGCTGTGTATATTCGCGGCCAGATTGTGGACAGATATGATATTATGATATTATGGTTGTGCTTACAAAATCAAATGCATGCATTGCCTTATTAGGCATGGAGCGCAGAGGCAATAATTTCTATAAATAAATATTATCGATTTGTTTGAACAGTTTGAAATTATTACATTCCATCGTTTGCTGTTCATAAATTACTTATTACTTATACGCGCAACTGATCGTATAACTGAACCAAATAATCTCCAGAGCATATTAAACCCGATGACGAGTTGAATTTCCTTTAAAATATCATGATTAAATTTGAGTCTCATCAATCATCATTAAAAATGACTCACAAAAATTGATGAGACTCACAATGTGAGTCTCAATGTGAGACTCACAAATGACTCACATAAAAAAATGACTCACCACTGTTTTGATTGTCCATATTTTTGCCTTGGTTGAGTGATTGTTAATTCTCGAAAAGAAACGATGATATAATTATTGGATTTAAACTCTGAACCACCTTCATCCCCCGCCTCCTAGATTGGCACAGCCACACTGAAAAATTTATTTGATCACATGCGTTTATAGTTAATACCAAAGATATGCAAATAATGCACATTTTGGAATTATTATTTGCATTTTAGGTATATCAGTAACGACCCCCATTCTTTTGTTGCTTACACACCGTCTACTAGGGTTATCTGCTCCGAAATTGTCATCCTTTACCTCCATAATGCTGTCTCCTAGCCATCATTGACCTCCGAAATGCTTTCTCCTCGCCATTATTTCCTCTACAATGCCAACCACTCAGAATTATTTACCTCTAAAATGCCAATACACAGCTAGATTATAAGTGAAAAGCTTCATGCAAATGTAGTTCGATTAGGAGTTTATTACCTCTTCCAGATATTCTTTGTTGCCCTATAAAAGTTTTGATTCCTGTCAGCCGCTGGCTCAAGGACGCCCTAAGCTCGCCTAGCGGTTTAAATTAGCGGCTCTATGTCCGCTTGAGGTTCTGGTTTCCCGAGAGAAATAAGGACCTGATTAGGATCCGGTCTATTCCTTGACAACCGTAGGACGATTGCGGGGCGCACGTTATTTTGGTAACTGATACTTTCGGGACAGACACGGTCGAATCTGAAATATACGTTAAAAATGCCCCCACCCTTTCCCCCTTTATGGGGGACACGTATCATCGCGGCACAATGAAGCAAGTGGCAAGTAAAAACGAGTTTGAAACGGGAATAATATAAGTTAATACAACTTGCAACCCCAACTTCTGACATTACCCACAACATTCTCTAATATTTACCAAAATGCAAGACGGTCTCACATTGCCCGAGACAAACAATCTTCAATATTCACCGGCACTCTGCATTCTCACAAATTACCCAAACCAACATTCTTCAATATGCAATAGCACTCAACGATCAGCATTCTCCAATATGCAATAGCACCCAGCGATCAATATTCTCCAATATTCAACAACGCCCAATATTATCCCACATAATCCATGTTCTAAACATTCTATCCCATTCACCCGTACCAAACATACCAATTGCGGGTACTGAACTTTTTCCACGTACGGTAGTGTGAAACATTCTCTCGCCTTAACCAGTATTAAAACTTCTCTCATATTCGCCATCACACAACGTTCACATTTAATGTTAAGCATTCTCCAGCAATAATAACTTAAATCAGTCCTCAAAGTTCTACCAAATTATTTGCAAACAACAGCCTAGTGCAACTACAGGGCTCAACTTTAACCATTTCAACATTGCGCAGATTCAATATAATGGCTAATAATTTCACACCTGTGTTTCTAGGTATTAAATGCCTAAAATATAATGAATTGTTCGCAGTAATGCAATTCAAGGCGAGACCTGCGCGCATTCCTGCTTCCTCTTGCATGCACTAGTACCTAACATCCGGTGTAATTTGCTAACGACTTGTCATTTCACGATACATCACTAGTAAGTTCCGTGCAGCTAACTGTTTTGCCAGGGTCTATAAAATTCGGCCTACAGCGGCTGTGAAGAAGAATAGAACTATTTCTACCCTCGAAATTGCCTTTGGAATTTGTTGCCTTTCCAACATTCACATTGTCATGTGCTATGGCAATTTCCGAAATTTCGAAATTTATCCTCCGATACTTTGTAATTCTTCGAAAATAAACCAATTCATAACGACAATTCGATTTCACACCGGCAAAAACCTGATGATGCGATAGAAGAAGCACATAAATGATAATCACAGAAAAAGAATAGCTTAGTTACCTACAACGCAATGCATTCTTGTTCATACAAGTTTTGCTTGCAGTGGCTCGGTGGTGAAGACCTAGGGGTTCAAATCACTCTGTCGTCTGTTGGTAATGCTTATCTTTCGGTTCCACAAATCGATTAATCTATTATGATGAATTAGAAATTGGAACCTATGGCACATGAACACGAGCAGCTCAAATAACACGCTCATGCAGATATTCCCCAAGTTGAAAATTTCTTCGACTGTAGAAATCTTCGCTGGACTAAGTTGTTGAATGCTGCCATACCAGTGCCGGGGACAGGGTTTTCCAACAGACATCGCTAAAAGAATCACCGGACAGTAAAACTAAGAAAGTTGTGCTTTTAAAAATGTTCAGAATGAATATATCTATCCTTTAAAACAAATTATTTTCAAGTCGCAAATTTCACTTTCCGCTGTACGATTACACAACTGAAATGAGAAGAGTGTGTCACTCAACATGTGAACAAGACTAGCGCAACTAGACAACTGCCGCCACCCGCCAGCAGTCTCGGCATCTGCTCAATACCCCTGCATAGTACCCCTGCATAGTGCTCATAGCCTAAACCCAGGTTAAGCATTTACTTGTCTAGCAACAAATTTTGCGCAGCAAACAGAATTAGGGAATTATATGAAATAAGAACCGTTAAAGTATATGGACTAAGTTTTGTCATCGATGTCGTTTGAACCACCGAATATAGTTTGTATTAATTAATTTGTTCAAAAAGTAGCGATTTGTCATGATACTTACGTCGCGATCAGTCATGCCCAGCACGCGCAACCGCCATTGAATAAAACGATCATAATTCGCCGATGGAATTATGTGAACCGCACCAAAATTTGATACAATTGTGAACCTCACCTAAAAATATTGAAATTTTCTAGACCTTGTTTGAAAAACCGAAGTTACATTCCTCAATGCCTGTCATTAGGCAATGCACTGTCGTCACAATATCAAGAACTTTCATCCCAAAATTATCGTGACCTAAACATATAATAAAAAATTTGTAGGCCCTGAATAACCGAACATTCATCTGTTACTTTTTCTGCCAATTAACAGCTTACATATTAGTTATGTATGTTATGATAAGAATTTAAATTTATCTCTTGTAGCTACAAGCATTACTATTTTTACTGTCACGTACTTATCAAGAATTTTTCTGCTCTTGCACCCCTTAATTTCCAGGACTTCAAGCATCCTGTGGTTTTTAAAGATAGCCAAATAAATCCAGTTATTTTTGTCCTATAATCAATTAAATTATTATCTTACAACACGTAAGCTTAAGGAATAGGTAAAATCAATTCTCATTTCGTGCCATCATATGCCTTGACAAACGTACGCGTGTACATACATCGACGTCATATTATGAGCGGGAGATGGTCATGGTTCGCTCAAATAACAGCGTCTGACGACAGAAGCCTGGTCAGCTGTTTTTTTCGGTCTGATTACGTTTATTCGGCCTATTGGGCAATCGACTCTCCGAATCAGCTCCTATATAGCCGCTAATTGCAGTTAGGTGGCCGATAGGCGCCTGAGTCACATCTAAGCCGACAGTCTGTCCTTTGGGGCGACCCCTAATGGAACGAGAAACTAGACTGGGTATCTAAGGTTTCATTGTTTGTATGAGAGTAGCATTGCAATGCCAGAACATGTACTCATGAATGATATCCCTTTAATTTTCACGATGCTTCAAAAGACATCAATGACTGTGGACCAAAAAATTAACCAAATGAGATGAATGAAGCTGCAATTGTAATGAGCAATATTTCTTTCAGAACATTGAAGAACACTACGGGACCTATGTTCAGAAGAACGACGAAATGAAGGTGGGCGAGATTGGACGGAAGTCGAGATTGTACCGAGTGTTGAACTTGATAAAATTATTGTCCAAATTCTCAGTCTTCTAGGAATTTGGGACTTACCCTTTTATTCGATATATGTACTCAATCTATGATAAAATATTAAGATATAATATATTTCAATAAATATTTAACGTGAGCTTTCAACTGTTAAATTTCGCGAGAACAACTCACAACATTTCATTTTTCAGAGAAATGGGCGCGTCAAAATCGAAGAGACCAGCGAGAAGGCATTTGAGCTTTACAAAAGAACAATGGATTCAAAAATCGAATCCCAGCGAAGATCTCTCGAAGAATCTTTTCTAAAAAGCTGTCACTCAGAGTCAAAATGCGAAGCTATTGAAGCTTACAACATGGAAAACCAATACGCCAAAACCAACGCTTTGTTTGTAACTGCAGCTGAAATTAGGGAAATCCTTGAAAAGGTGAGTCTAAGCCAGCGAAAGTGCAATCATGTACTCATTATGTCGTTCACCGAACCTCTGAGTAATTATGCTGTGTATATTCGCGGCCAGATTGTGGACAGATGTGATGATTGTGCTTACACAATCAAATGCATGCATTGCCTTATTGCATGGAGCGCAGAGACAATAATTGCTATAAATAAATATTATTGATTGTTTTGAATAGATGGCAGATATGTGCTGCAATGGCGTTAAATGAGCATGCAGGCGCGCGTGATCGGTGATACCACCCGACGCATAAATTGTATATACCAGGTTACAAATCCATGATATCGAGTGATTCAATAAGTGTAATTCATGATGTACATGGATTTGTAATCCATGAGAGATTAAAATCCTTTGACAGCTGGGCGAAGAACGCGCCGATCATCTATCAATGTCGAGTAGAAAATGTAAGGTCCAATTTGGGCTATAATTTAACAATCGAACGTCCAAAAAGAGAAAGTAACAAATAGAATGCAGGTCATTACAAGGTTAATACTTCTTTACAATTTTTAGACGTACAAAGATCCCACATCCATACACCCGAGCAGCATAACGCTATGTAAGCGAAGATTGAATATATAGTGATCACAAAGCTGCAAGGTTGTTCTGGATTTCAATTTCTTAAAAGTAGAAGATAAATGTTCATAAAGTTGAACCAAAAAGAGCAGTAACTACTAAAATTTGCCTACGAGGATGTGACCACGCAAGTGAATCTTTGAATAATCATGATCGTCCCTACATGTCTTCAGCATCACGCATAACCGCATATCTACACTATCTAGAATGCCTTGAGCAATGCTTCCTATAACTTGAAAATGAATGATGTCACATTCGAAACGTCGTTAATAAATCGAATTACTTCCTTGATCCTGCATTTGAATCAACCGTTATCTGAAGAATATTGTCCGATCCTGAAAATTTAAATCAATGGATTCTCTGGTCATTAACTACGCGTGTTTAAACAAACTCATTCTGCTATCTTATACTAACTATCTAGAATCTACACTATATCTAGAATCACGCATATCTTATCTACACTATAATTGTGTGAATTTTGACCATCAACGCTTATCGACGTTAATTATTTTAGCTATTCTCAATGCATTCAGTCAATTTCGTAAATTTATCAACAATTTGTGGTTGATCGGTAAATGGTTTTGGTCAAGTTACTTAATGTTTTGAAGAACTCGATAGGAAGAAAGCTTCCTGTGGGTTTGCATCGTGCAAGCCTGCATGCAAGATCCACCTCCAGGTTCACGACAGTTCCAATTGAGTGATGAGTTGTAGGGCTGAACATTTTTATGTTGAGTAATCGAATTCCATCGTATTTATGGCTGTTTTATAACTTATTACTGCTTATACGTGCAACCAATCGCATACCTGAACCGAATCATCTCCATAGCGTGTTTAACCCCAATAAGAGTTAAACTTTTCGTCGAAAAACATATGATTGAACTTGAGTCTCATCAACCATCATCAAAAATGACTCACAAAAATCTTACACATTGCACCACTGTCGCGATTGTACATATTTTCGCCTTGGTTATAGTTGAGTGTTTGTTGATCCTCGAAAAGCAATTTTGATATAATTATTGGATTCAAACTCAGAATCATCTTCTTCTCCCGCCTCATATATATTGGCACAGCCGAGCTGAAAAAATTATTTGCTCTCATGCTTCTATAGTTAATATCAAATATATGAAAATAATGCACATTCAGAAATTATTATTTGCATTTTGGGTGTATCAGTGACAACCCTCATTCTTTTGTTGCTATCACACCGTCTACTGGGTTATCTGCTCCGACATTGTCATCTTCTACCTCCAAATTGCTTTCTCCTCGCCATCATTTACCTCCATAATACCGTTGCCTCGCCATTATTTTCCTCTACAATGCCAATCTACAGTTAAATTATATGTGAAAATATTCATTACAGTATAGTTCGATTAGGAGTCTATCAACTCTTCCGTATATTCTTATCTATCTAAGGTTTCATTCTTTATATGAAAATGGCATTGCAATGCCAGAACCTGCATGTGCTCGTGAATAATATCCACTTAATTAATTTGCACTTAATTTCAAAATACTTCAATAACGGTGAACTAAAAATTTGACCTAAGGAAGTGAACGAAGTTGCATCGTAATGACCGATAATTATTTTTTTTTTCAGAACATTGAAGAGCACTACGGAACCTGTGTTCAGAAGAACGACGAAATGAAGGTGGGCGAGATTGGTTGGAAGTCCAGATTGTACTGCGTGTTGAACTTATTAAAACTTATGTCCAAATACTATGTCTTATTAAACTTGGGACTTCACATTTTTATTCGATGCATGTATTCAATTCATGATTAAGTATTAAGATATACCATACTTCAATAAACAATTTGCGAGAGCTTTCAACTGTCGAATTTTGCGAGACCAACTTACAACATTTCCTTTTCAGAGAAAGGGGCGCGTCAAAATCGATGAGACCAGCAAGAAGGCATTTGTGCTTTACAAAAGAACAATGGATTCAAAAATCGAAACCCACGGAAGATGTCTTGAAGATTCTCTTCTAAAAAGCTGTCACTCAGAGTCGAAAAGCAAAGCAATTGCAGCTTACAACAGGGAAAACCAATACGACAGAAACGACGCTTTGTTTGTAACTGCAGCTGAAGTTAGGGAAATCCTTGAACTGGTGAGTCAAAGCCAGCGAAAGTGCAATCATGTACTCATAATATCGCTAACCGAACACTCTGAGTACTTGGACTGTGTATATTCGTGGAAAGAATGTGGGCAAATATGATGATTGTGCTTACACAATCAAATGCATGCATTGCCTTCTTAGGCATGGAGCGCCGAGGCAATAATTTCTATCAATAAATATTATAGATTTGTTTGAATAGATGGCAGATATGTGCTGCAATGGCGACAAATGAGCATGCAGGCGCGCGTGATCGGTGATACCAGCCGACGCATAAATTGTATATACCAGGTTACAAATCCATGATATCGAGTGATTCAAAGATGTTTAACCCATGATGTCAGGCAATTTGTAATCCATGATGTACATGGCTTTGTAATCCAACAGCGATTCAGGCCCTTCGAGAACTGGACGAAGAACTCGAAGATGAAATATCAATGTGGAGGAGAGGACGAAAGGTCCAATATCAATGTGGAGTAGAGGACGAAAGGTCCAATTCGTACTATAATTTAACTATTGAACGGCCAAAAAGAGAAAGTAACAGATGAAATGCAGATCACTACAAGTTTAATACTTCTTTAGAATTTTTACATAAAATGTTAGTGCAGAGACTCCTACTGAAGCTCATACCATTATAACAGTTCAGCATTAGTTTCAACGTCTAGGGCAAAATGCGTTCTGAGGCAACGGGAATATAAATGATTTAATTCTAAGTCATCTTCAGGAATTCGAACGTCGAGATACAAACTAGTTTTGATTGTTGATAATTTTTCACCGACATTCTTAATAAAATGTATAAAAAAATTTTTAAAGACCTCGTTTTTCATGTGGACTAAAAAGTAGAAAATAATTTTTCGGCAGCTACTGATCTCTGTTTGCTTTCATTCTCTTGGTCTTTTGTATTTCAGTTAAAATATTTCACAACATCTA